TTGTACCATAAAGACTTACACCCACCATCTTTGGGTCGGTTTATACAGAGAGTACAATGCATGGATGTTCATGTACCTTTGTTAAATGGGCCTGAATAAAAATGATTAATGGAGGAAGCTAGAATAAAAGTCAAAGGGAGAATTTTCCTCATTAGGATTTTCCTGGAGTTCCTGAAGAAGTATGTGGACTATGACATCAGCTCTCTGCAAGAGAAAAGGTAGATCATCATGATCCGATTTTAGTTTTGATGAACACAACAATGTTTCTAATATCTGCCTCGACTGAACTGCCAATTGTATTATTACCGGTACTCCAATCAGTTTGGATGTTATCTTTATTTTTTGGCTGTTGGAAGGTATTATTTGATCTTAGCCTGACCAATTCAGATATGAGACTTGACAGTTGTAGGTGCTCTACATTACTTATCCATCAAAGCTTGATACTGTGATAGTCAGGGACAGTGCACCACTGGCATGGAAGTTATGGCTATAGATGAAGAATTGTTGAAGTTGATTGGTGGTTGATAGCAGAAAAGAAGTCTAAATTTATATTCTGGGATTTACGCTGTTAAGATTCCTGTGTTAGAAGAGCTCAGTACCTGGTTGAGATGCAGGTGAGGGGATTCATTTAGTCTCTAATAAATAATGATTTTATCATTAAAGAAGCTCATGAGTCGTTTAGCTGTCTGAGGATAAAGGAATAACATGGCTGGCTACAGTGCTGAAAAGGATACCTAATGTTGTCCCCTCTTTTCCTGTTAATGATGAATGGTAAGGCTAATTAATATGATTAGATAAATCAAATCCAATTTAAGTATCATTCAATTTATGGGAATCAGTCCCATTAATGATTTTATTTTGTTTCTGGTTGCAGGAGTTGGTTTTTTAATTTTATTAGGTTCTATGTGTATAACTCCTTCTTCCTTTACTTCCTCTTTAAATAATTGAAGTACGGTCAGGGACACAGTCTCTGTGGGGTTTGGGTGGGTATCTGCTCTAACTGAAGTGCAGAGAAGCGTGTAGGACTGCAGCTCTGCCTCCTGCTCTCAACTCTGGGTTGTCAGGTTTTAGGTTCAGAAATAAACAGTCAGATTTCTAGATAAGAGAGCTGCTCTGTCCAAAGTGGGATGGATGCTGTCTATTCCCTTGTTTTATTTCCTTCCCTGTTCTCCCTTTTTCATCTTTCTCTACCCCCTGTCTCTCTCTCTCTCTCTGTTTATACAGTAAGTCTACATTTGCTGCTTTGAGTAGATGTTCAGTGTGGGTAGATGAAACACACTGTTGCTGGGTCAGCAGCTCGCTTAACCACTGCGTTCAGTCATTTATCTGCACTAACTGACTGTGTCGAAAATCTTAATCATCTTCTGCTGCATTGCACTTCATTTTTCTTCTCTCTCTCTGAATTTGTTATCACCTCTTATAGCTACATTTAGGACCTGTTATAATATGTGTGCCTAATTGTGTCTTAATATGATAAAAGAGGAGCTCTATCATCGTTATATATTCTTTTATTTTTTTCCTGCTCAAACACACACACACACACATACACACACAGGCGTACCAATGGTTATCCACAATATGACACCACATCAGTCCTCTCTCTAGTCTGTCTGCCTCTGTCTCTCTGTCTTTCCTGTTGTCTCTGCCTTTCCCTCATACATACACAGGGTTGTGCACACATACACACCGCCTCAGCCATTCAAATACACATCTCCATCTACCACACATACAAACTAATATCTCAGGTAAGCACAGGGCCTAAAGTGACCTGCTGTCGTGGTGCGTGAATCCACTAAGGCTCAGAAAAGGTAATATCGTGCCCTCCCTCTTTCCCCTCCAAGGGTTGAGCCGTGATGTGGGCGAGCATGGGAGGTGCAGAGGTGAGGGAGGGGGGCAGGTGAGGAGGAATAAACAGATTTATTTGCCTGCGCCCCTCTCTGATTATTTTGCCCCTGCCTTTTGTTCCAGACCTTATGAAACCCAAATGTCAAGTGAGGCGAGGGCCTCATATCGAGCCCTGTCAATCACATCCCTCTGCGCACCTGAAGCCCTGACGCCGGATTATTGGCTTCAACACAAGGGCTGCCTTTGCCGCCAGCCACAATGCCTCAGACGATTCGACAGCCAAGTTTTTTTTTTTTTTTCTAAAGAGGAACTTCATTTGGCAGCTGATGCGCTGAAGATTGCACAGGAGCGGATTTTGAGGGTAGATGGGTAGCAG